GTGAAAGAACAGGGGAGACGAGGAAATTGGTCGTACAGAACATACCCCCATAGCGGAAGTGTTTTCGTTGTACATGGTATTTCAGGACTAAGTTCGTAGCCTTGTACTTGTACGGGTTACTTAATAAAAGTTATTCAAATAAAAATTGGTGACTCTGAAAACATACCGTCAGCTGTCTCTTGGCACAGCCTGTTCCGTTAACCTGCTAAATCTACGGCGCTATCCACTGGAAACCGAGAAACGGCAAAAAATGGCGCCGATGGGGAAATCTAAGGCTACGTCGTTAGATCCGCGTAGACAATACCACTGCACCACGGCGCAATCCGTTGAAATCCTTTGAAAAACTTAATCGCTGTACGTAACCCGCGTGCTTTGCTAAACGGTCCACATGAGAAGACGGCACCGTACAGGAGCATGACATAGCGTCTCATACTACAAACTGGCCGTCTCGCACAGGAGCCAAGGTAACACCGTCCGGGCGCTTACCGTTCTGTCCACACATTCTGGAGGATCCAATTCGCACTGAAAACTCGCTGCAGAGAACGATTTTTCTACGATTTCGTTCATTTCACAGTGCCGACTCCATCGCCCTTTGCTGTACAGGCCAGAAAGGCCGCGATGTACATTATAGCCATCATGTATTCCAGTCACACACTGACACAGAATTCACAAGCATACGGCCATTTACCGCAGTCCACAAATTCCGAATTTAACGGCCTCATGGTAAGCGCTTTTATTTGAGAAGTGGCGCATCAAATCGGACGGGGCGTTATTTTTGGGTAGGGTGTGAGGGGAGTTTAATTGCGGTAGTTCCTAGACATCTAGATAGGGGATGCGAATGGACGGGGACAAATAGTCGCAGGACATTTAGTCGCAGGCATTTCGCTGGCAGGACATCACGCCACAGACACTTTGTCGCGAGTCCGTTTCCACGCTGAGACATTCCGTTGCCAAGCCGGGAGGATAATTCGTCTATTATGCACATACGACTTACTTCATGTGTAATGCTTACTACAAGTCCAACAGTCAAGAGCAACTAACAAGAAAAAAAGTGATCCATTTTGATGGCCGAAAAATTCGGGATGCGGAACAGGATAACCTCGATCTACTAGATATGGACGACTTCGTACACGTTAAATTTTTCAAGGCATGTTTTTTTGCTTGTACCCACAGCATCCTGCCCTATTCCACGGTATCCTCTACGTATCCCTCATGTATCCTTACAATTTTTTTACGTCTGTTCGATTGTTGCCGTATCCCTCCGTATCCCTGCAGTATCCTCTATGTATCCCTCATGAACCCCGTTAAAAAACCTAAGAAAACCTAAGAACCCTAAGAAAACATAATAACGGGATACATGGAGGATACACAAAGGATACCGTGGGGGTACTGAGGGATACTCTAATTAAAAAGAATGACCACATTAAGAATATTTGCAATACGTGCAGAATACACACTAAGTGATGCAGCCAGTATCTCACCCTATTCCACAGTATCCTTTACGTATCCTTCATGTATCCTGTTTAATGCAGGTTTAAGGGTCATCAGTACCTGCAGTATCCCAACGTATCTTAACGTATCCTTTCTGTATCCGTCGAGTATGAGGATAACACTTACATTAGGGATGCACATGAGGATACTGCTGAGATACGGTGGGATACTGCAGTAACTAAAACAACCCGTGTTGGCGGCAGGCGACACTTCCAGTGAGCAGAGGCGGTATTGGCATACGTCGGGCGGAAGAATTAGCGCTCCCAGCCTTCTCGGCTTCGATTCACTCCGTATCCGGCTTAATGTCATTATTGCTTCCTGATCACCCCACTGTAAATGTCTCGGCCGCTTCTGAGTTGTGGAAAGCCAATGCGCGACTGGCAGAACTCCCGGAGCAAAATTTCAGAAAGGTACAACTAGCATGGGATCTTCAGATTTGTAACACATCACTATCCATACTGCTGGACATCTTCCGCGATGATGAGATTAACTGGGCCCGTCTCCTCGCACAGTCAACACCGGAAGCTGGCATATGGCTAAATGCCTTGCCCTCGGCACACATCGGAAACCTCTTGGACGACGACACCGTGAAGATATCAGTCGGCCTGAGACTGGGGGTGATTATCTGTGAAGCACATTCTTGTTCTAAGTGCCACAAGCCCGTTGATGTGTATGGCCACCACGGGTTATCCTGTGCATTCTCAGCTGAAAGACACCCACGCCATGGCGGTCTGAAAAGTATTTTGTGCAAATCGTTGGTATCAGCCGGCATTCCCGCAAAACTGGTGCACCACGTTTGCGTGGCAACGCGGTATGTGTTTGGCTTGGGACGTGACCTGCGTGGATACCGTCTCTGCATCTCATCGCAAATCAACGTCAGTTACTGCGGGATCCGCCGCCGCTCAGGCGGAGGATAGAAAAGCGGGTTTGTATTTGTACCTGCTGGGCAGATACATCTTCGCACCGCTGGCCTTTGAAACTCTTGGACCATGGGGAAAATCAGCTAGCCGTTTAGTAAAAGAAATTGGCAAACGACTTCGACAGCATACGGGGGAGCCTCGCTCCCATGAGTACCTCCGTCAACGTCTTTCGCTGGAAATTCAGCGAGGCAACGCTGCTTCCGTGCTCGGGACGATGGAAGGAGCGGCAGCGTAAAATGAAATTTTGTTGCTTTGAATTATTGTTTTGAAACTGTGATGTTACCGCATTTTGTGAAACAAAAACTTGTCCACTAAAACAAAGTAGAAAACTTGGGGGATACATGAAGGATACGCAGAGGATACTGTTGAATACGGTGGGATACTGTGGATACAACTAGAAACACATGCCCGAAAAAATTTAGCGTGTACTAACCGTGCCATTGGTGTTGATCGATCTACGGCCTTTTTAAGACAGCGATTAAATCTTGCTGTAGTAAGAGGAAGCACAGCAGCTATTTTGGGTACGAGTACATTGAGTGCTCGTCATAAGATCTGTACCGACACTAATGATTTTGGGTGTTCTTTCAATGTTTAAAAGTAAATCATTTTAATTAGTGTAAACCTGCGGAAGCATACCGATATGTGCACTGGCTGTTGCCGAATAAAAAGAGAAATTTAGAGAAAAAGACTAAAAATAAAAAGAAAAATCGATGAAATACATATAAGAAAAGCGTGAGATATCTAAAGAAAAAAACTATCTAATTTTTTTCGGCGTCTTGTTTATTCCGTCGCCGTGCATGTTTCCAGTATTATTGTAAAGTACAGAGACTACAGATACATCATTAATTTTACCGTTAATTGATTTATGACATATTCTGATTGATGTTATACTAGTACACGTTTGTAGCCGGCAGAAAGGTTGACTGGCTCACGGCTCATGGATCAAACCATTTCTTCGGCAAAAAAGTTTGTTAACCTTTTTGACGGGCAAAATGGCTCACGATCATCGATCTAGCGTTTCATGATGGCCAACATTGAAATTCGTGTAATCTTGTAATTGTAATTGAAATCTATTCGTTAACTGGGCACTGCATACTGCTGTACACTACAGAATCAGAATCAAGATTCTACATAATTATTATGCACAGCTCATCTGTAATGCAAAGCAAAGTCAGCCAGACCGCAAGCTGCGATCTGGCTAAACAGGGAGGCACGCTACCCTGGCATGTAAGCCCAGTCCAAACTCCACTACTATTCGTAGACACAAAATCCGGTCCACAACTGCATATGTACGAGTATGTTTCGATTGTTCGGTCATTAACGTCAATATTAATATCGGAAGAAATCATTCTTAGATGTAAAATTTGCCATTTGATCACTAGGGTAGGTGTATTACTTACAGCCGGCAATCTTCGATGCCTTTGTAAAATACTAAGCATATCGTCCTGGTAACAATGAAATTTACTGCCGTGAGCCAACTTGCCCGGCAAAATGGCTCACGATTGCATACGGAGTTTGTGTTATCTGTACACGAACATTAAGCTGAGACAACAAAACTGGATTCAGTATTTCTGTAATCACTTTCATCCTGCAGAAACGTATCAGTTCACCGTGCCTATTGCAGTCTTTGAAACACCGCAAGATTAGTAAGACTATCGTGACACATTTAAGTTTTAAACCATTGTGCGTTGCATAATTATACACATACTTATTCAGTTTGTAGTTGTATAGGTAACATAGTGAAAAAGAGTGCATTCAAGTGCCATTAGCTAAAATTATTCTTCGGTTTGGGTAGAGAAACCCTTACACGTGAGCCATCCTGCCCGGCACACAGGCTCACGCTCACACAAGTAGGATAGCCACGCAAGTGACTAAATAGTGACTCTGAAGTCCATAATTATGCCGCTCTTGTCAGATGCGCTGTGCCATGGCAGTGCTATTGCACAATACTTAGGCGAGCCGCTTGTGTATATTTCCATATACTTCTAAGGTAAGTTGGTAACGTTACTAACTTATTTCGCTTCATCATGCAGCAAAATCATTATCATATAGCTAGAAAAAAGAGCAGAGCAAAAACTTTTAAGTTTTCGAGTGCAAACGTGAAACGTTCGTGAGCCATCCTGCCCGGCACGCAGGCTCACGAACGTGAGCCTGCGTCCGGGCAGAATGGCTCACGCCTGTGAGCATGTTTGACAAACGGGATTGCTCTAGAGTATAAGAATGTGTACGGTAAAAATAAGGTATGCGACAGTTGCCTTTACGTGATCTTTGCAACAATTAGAATAACATGTGAGACTTGAAACTATTGCAAACTTTATAGTGCACATATGTGCACTTTAACCGTGAGCCATTTTGCCAGGCAGAATGGCTCACGGGTCCCAAATTTCACAACTTGCTTGGCGGCATTGTGCGTAAGTCTAACGCTTTGTTCATAAGTGCTAATGTTGACTGACACCTTCAGTATTTTGATAACAGAACAAGAAATTAGAACACCATGGAAAACCCCTTTTTGGTCTACGCAGTTGGCTAAAGTACATATGTTACCGTATGTAGCTTCTGTACATGTTGTTGCACTAACACATATGTAAGCAGAACAAAACCCGATTTATTTAAATGCGTTATCTCATTCGCATAGAGTCTTCACAATGGCGGTCATACTGCGGTGATCCATGATCGTGAGCCATTTCGCCCGTAAAAAAAGTAAACAAACCTTTTTGCCGGCAAAAAGGTTTGTTCCGTGAGCTGTGAGCCAGTCAACCTTTCTGCCGGCTACACACGTTAACTGCAGAGTGCTTTCTTCGAAATGAAAACTAAGGCCTGCATTATACCACGACTCAAGTATAACATCGTAATATAAATAGACATCGTATTATCATCGTGATAAAATTTTATCTAATGGACAAACGGGCACTGTCATAGCTGCGTAGTTCCGGTTGATCGACTGGCAGATCGCCGCTCCGATGTTGCTTCAGCGAACATTGTAGGATGAAATAGACGACACACTGGTCGAACGACTTGTTGGAGAAAACGACCTCGATACTGACGATCAGTTAACAAGTAAACGTAAAAATTCAAGGAATAGCCCGTCGCCACTATCACCCTGAATATCGGCTCCATGAAGTTGGTTATGCTACCGTCGGCAGTGTAAGAAAATTTATTCCTAAGGTTTTCTGGTAAAGCCCAGGCACACAAGTGGAACATTACCGGGCTACGAGTGATAAGATAGAGCATGGAGCTGATCAGCAGGATGATGTTGATTCCGTGTTGCGACATAGACTTGCTGGCCGGTGTTGACAAGTTTCTCGTATTCCTTGCGTTTTGCGCGCGACGCGTTCTACGAACTCGGATTGCCGTTGACGTGCAAGGAAGGCAATTAGAATCACACCGGGGATAAGGATCAGCACAAATGTGAAAATGCGCACTACCAACTGCAATTGAAACGGATGTGATAAATAATGTGATATCCTAAGTAAAACATTTGGATAATAACTTATTTAACATTTTGCACATGAATATTCATTCGTAGAATCATAATAAATGTTTTATTTCAGTACATACAAGCGCCAGATTATGGAGACGGTGCCACGAATGCACCCAGGCATAGGCAGTAGGGTTATACGAAGGGCCGGAAGGTCTGTTCACCCAGTTACAGTAGGCATAAGCAAATTCGTGCATAAAGCAGGCGAGTGACAGAATAACGATAACTACAATCAGAATACGCGCCGTTGCAACCCGCTGTAGAAATCCGAATCGAAAAGGACTGAGAATCACACGAAGCCGTTCCCAAGAGAACACAACGAGAGTCCTGCAACGTCAACCATGAACCAACCACTTGCACATACATCTGTACTTCGTATTTCTGACATTCACAAAACCCTTACCAATCGGATAAAATCATCGAAGCTTCGGATAACCATGGGAGAAAGAACCACATGCCGAGTGCCTTGTAGCTTCTCCTCACCCCTTTTTCCGACAAGAAGTCAACAAAAACACCCAACCATCTAGGGATACATAAGAGAACGTTAGAAAATAAGCAAAGACCAAAGCCATAGGTAATTTTATGTATTTTCCGTTTCGAGTAATATATTTTTCTCTGTGTCAACTGTCAATGCGAGTTTAGGCATGGCTCATAACTCGGCCCTCCGGCCTGCTGCTGGTTCTTTCTGGGTTTTGTGAGTGTTTTCCTGTTCTGGCATTCCATGGTTTTCACGGATCTGCAACACAGCTACGCTGGCTACAGATTCCGCTTATTGAATTAAGGTTCTTGGCATGACTAGTGTTTGGCGTCAAAAAGTTCCGCTAGTACCTGTACGGCGGAGTTTGTGCCACTGAACCGGAAAGTCAAAGGATATTACAGCAGTAGTGCTATAACTCAAATAATCATGTTTTTTTTATTGGTCGGTGATAAAGCCGATGATGTAATTGTTAGCCCGTGGGCGGTCTTAAGTTCCGAAATTCTAGTTTCTTCGGAGTTGCGAATGGGTGTACGGAAATCAGTCGCTTCGCAGCCACCGGCAGTCCCGCACTTCTTAAATTGCTAATAAATTTTGATGAGACAGCTTTCTTTCTTTCGTTCGAACTTCGTTCGATCGTTCGATCGGAATGCCCTTTCGTCTTCCTGATTCCAGTAGTTCCTTGAACTGTGTAGCGTCTTTGGCTTTACAATTTTGACCATCACCTTCGGTTGTTGTGCGTCGTGGCGCGGCGTGTAGCCAACCCACAGTAAACGGAGGCCCATCATCAGCCGTCCGTTATAATATTTAGTACGGCTTTCGCGAGGGAACTAGAAGCCACTAGGCTAGTATGGATGTGACCGTGGTTGATACAATCGCGCAGTACGCGGCCATTTGGCTAACTTGTCTGGTATAATATACACTACGTGGCCCCAATCTCGTTTCACTCGATTGTACAGCGGCAGGTTCATAAAAAAAAACAATAATATAAATAATTTATGAGTATCGTATTTGTAACTGTGTGCACTACTGAGCCCAACTACATAAATCTAACTGCAGCCTCGAGGAGGTTTATAATTTTGATTTCTAACAGCATGATTTCTAACAGAATTCTGTAGTATTGACTGAAAGTAGTCAAGTTTTTGCTATACATACAGAATTCCAGATGAGAATGAAAATTATATGTTCATTGTTGAATTAATTTCAAATAAAGCTCATTATCCAGGATGAAACGGTCGGTCTGTTTAGTGGCAGTGATAACACCAATGCCGGCAATGGCTTTATAAAAATAGGACGTTTAATTTGATGGCTTTGAAATTGAATCTTTTGTTATCGAAAATAATATAGTACATGAATAGGAGCATAGTACATGAACAGTATAGTACATAAACAGGAAAATAGTATAGTACAAAATTTTTGGGTAAAAATAATTAGCCACACTTTTGTTACCTAATCTTTTCCTATACAAAAATTGTCCTTTTTGAGAACATTATTGATTTTCCGTTTTAACTAATCCCGTTGATAGAGATTTAGAGCTCGAAAAACGTAGGGGCAATCTTTTTGAAGCCTATTGTCTGCACTTTAAGACGTAATTTAAAATATTTTTCAGGTGAAACATTATAAAGCCGATCACCTGGTAAACCACCATAACAAAGATAAGCTCTTTTTTCTAGTCCAGGGTCTCAGTTTCAGACCCAGAATAAATTATCATTATAATTTAATTTGGGTCTGGAAAAGCACGTTCATAACCCTGTGTGCACTTAAGCGGTATGACATCATTCGTATCTAATAAAGCAGCCCTATCCATAAAACCGATTTTCATGATGATTTCAGCCACACTGGTATCTAAATTTTCCAAATCACGAATTTTTCAGTTCGCATAAAACACATTATTACAAATCAAAATAGTTAGCGCTTCATAAACCTATTTATTCAGCATTACTTGCTTCAATTATCTTCCTACTCCAATTACCCTCAATTTGCATTTTACGTTTTCTATATTCACGCATGTATTCACGCATATTTCTTCCGATTAGAATCACCTTCCATTATTTTATTAAGGATTTAAGGATAATAATACATAAAAAAATTTAACGCAGATCTCTGTGCAAGAAAACTTACTAACCCATACAGAAGCTAAAAAAACGTACTAAAGTCAAACAAAACACGGCAGCCTGAATCAGCACTGTACTAAAATCCAAACCGACCACCACAAAATAATCAACAGGAGAAAAATCTTCTTCACTGCAAACTTCTTCGAATCCATAACAGCTCACACGCAACTTCTGCTTATTCCGGAATTCCTTCTATACCTACCGAACTAAAAAAATCCGGTCAACAAACCGAATCACCCTAACACTTTCTCGAACAACTTTTTAATGTACATCGCAACCTCCTTCCCATAAAAACCACCTGTTACTAAGCATCCATAACCATCAGATCAGAACATCATGGTCTGCTCTATTAACCAATCAACTTTCTCGAACTTTCATGAATTTTTCACAGTAATCCATCACCATCCACCACCACAACTCATAACACACAACACACTCTGCTTCCTGTTACACTTCATTAAACTATGAAGTATGAACAACCAATAAGTCGAACACACTTATGTCAGACTACAGTAAAATCCCCTACAACCTTCCCTCTGTTACAACATTCACCCCTTCATTATCAGTTTCTTTCAAACATATCATCTTTATTGTCTTTACTACCCGATACTTGTACCTAATATTATGCTCCTACAATAAGCTCCTGCAATATGCTCCTACATTATGCTCCAACCATTTTTCACACCACAATAATTACCACCTATCCCTTATAATCTCCACATACAATATGCTCCTGCAATGTACTCCTACATTATGTAGATGCATATTGCAATGTCCTCCTACATATGTAGGAGCACATATATGTAGGAGCACATTGCAATGTGCTCCTACATATGTAGGAGCACATTGCAGGAGCATATTGGATTACGTTTGTTTGGATACTACAGTTCCGTTCCGTTTTTCTCCTCCAAGAAATGATGAAACCGATGCAATGTGCTCCTACATAATGTATGAGCACATTCCAATGTGCTCCTACATAATGTAGGAGCACATAATGTAAACTAAAAAACCTGCCGCAAAATTATCAGAAATATTTGAGTACAGTATTACCTGCATTCCGTGGCTGTGACCGACGAAAGGAATATCACAATTTCCATTAATTCTGTGCATGAAAGACCTTCGCTACTCTTCGATCGATCAAATTGCCGACTTTACTTCATGCCATAAAATTTTTCAGTCAAACTCACTTTCGTCCGGTGAAGTCCGAAACAGATAAAATAGATTAGCAGTAAGCCTCTATCTAACGCATGGTTACCTACCACATGGCAACCATTATGTTATGTACGACTGCGAATCGAATCGAATGCGGCCGTGTCTTGCCTTCGAAGTGGAATGAGCGTTTTTCAAAATAACCCTTAGTGCTTTCTTGGGTGTTAAAAAACGCTCCACGCTTCACGTTACTTGTTGCTAACGTACAGCGCTAATAAATCAGCAACGGCTGTTGCAATCAGGTAATGGCATGCCGATGTCCTCCACGTGGGTACACTGCGGATTAACACCACCAGATTCAGTCCGTTGCCCACGGTGCACAGAGCCAGCAAGCAAAAGCACACAGCCCGGCAAGCAAGGTACGTTCCGTGGGCTTGTTCTTCGGTATACCGACCGACTTCGAAATGGCTGTGATTTCCAGCACGACTTAGGTTTTCCTGGCTGTTTTTGAATACGCTCAGATTACTATGATGCTCAGGATTATGGTGACTATGATTTTCTGTCCAACTGGAAGCATCAACACAAAAGAAGAAAAGAAGCAGTAGAAACACGACATGCATGGGTAAGCCGGCATTTTCTGACATCCTGGTATTTCACAACAAAACGTTTGATCGTCGACGAAAAATTAGCGACCGCGGCGTAATGAAAACAGAATACTTGGCCTGCTGCACTGCTGGGGCTATTACCGGCTAAAGCAAATTTACCTTCAAGCTTAATTTCCAACCATTTATTAGTCTTTTTGCCGCATGATTCATTGATTCTAGTCATTAATTAAGCTCCTGTTAGTTGGTCTGCCCAACATTAAAGCAGCCGGTAACTCTTGCTCGAACACAAGCTTTCCCTCTGAGCAGTGCATTCAAGGCAGCGAAGTCTGCTTAATTAAATTTTTCGGGCAACTTTGCATGCCCAAAGGCATGCGCAGAGCTCTGCGATTATTTTGTTGCTCTGTCTCGATCAAGCACATGACTAAATAATTATTACATATACGGCTAATGTCGTAGTCCGTAGAGTAAACGGAATTCACTGTTTTCGAAGAGCACCAAATATTCGAATTTTGATTCTCTCCTTTCTTCTTTTGGATGAGGTATTCTGGGATATGCTTCGCAGGCTCTGTCGGCATCTGACGTACTTACTACTCTGTAACTTTTATTGTGTACCACATTAATTTTTTTCATGTCTCAATCTGTTCCCAATATATATAAATGTATATCAAGGAAATATCAAGGAAATTGATCTATATTATGTTCGGCCGCCTCGTGGTCGCGGAACGTGGCTAGAAAAAACCGCAAAACAAATTAAGAAACCGATTTCACCACTAAACTCAGCATGTTCCAAAAGGGTCCCACATGCAGTTTGTTTCCGAAAATATCTGCCCTGGGACCATCGCTCGAATGCCGGTACCGGTACTTCCCATGACCGGTAGTAATATCCCTGTAAATACTGTCACGTAAAGATTTCTTTTAGCGATATTCGCACGCGCTAGCCTTTTTCTGATTGTTAAGGGCGATATGCTCGTACATGCTGTTATCTGATATACCGTTCCACTTGTTGCTCTTTTATACCGCTGTTTTTGCGCTTTCCTGACACAGTTACCGCCATACAGTCTGATTTCCTTCAACAATAATCCCTGACTTGAAATGCCGTCTCGTTCGTTGCCGTTTATGCATATTTCCGTAAACACCGCATATTAGACTACGAAACCGGCCGGTCTTATGCCGCCGTGACCTTTCCGTTTATTTTGCTCTGCCATAAATTATGTAACAAATGGTCCGACGACTGAGAAGCCACCTGGCGGTTACTACAGTCGCGTGCGATCGGTATTTACGGCATCGTTATTCCGTTAACTGGCCACCCGGTCGCCTTACGTTTCGTATACGGAAGCCGTTTTTCCGCGTTCTCAGTTCAACGATGGATCAAGCGCAACACCGTATTGTAAGTTGCAGCAGTTATTAATTTTAAAATAAATTAATTTTTCACCAACGCTAATTTGCCGATGGTATATTTGAATATACCATACTCTTATACCTTCCTATTGGGACGTTAGAGTCAGTGCATCAAGTGATGTCAGATATTCTGCCGTAATGTATATGCTATAATACCGTTGTGCACTTTTGACTGTTGTCGAGATGTTTGTTATCATTTATCCCTCTTATCAATTATGCATCGTTTGTTATAAAATTTAAATATGGTATACGAATTGTCACTAGTTCAGCGAATTAATAATCAGGTGTATATACATCAATTGTCGCAGACTTATTCTTTCCAAAATAATAATGAACTAGCGGCATTTTGCAATAATCTGTTTATTCAATATTCGACTGTATTGTATGTCGAGTGGAAAAATCTGACTACTGAAGATACAGGGATTTTATTTAAAATGCCTATTACGGATTCTCTTGTCCAGGATATTGTTGATCGTTTGGTATCGCTCGGTGGTATGCGCAATGTGCTGCAAGTTCCTGAATAGAATAAATCGCTGATCTCCTTATTTTAGTATTTCAATATTTGCATTTTCTAATCGTCTTTATTGCGTGCATTCTCTTTCCATGAAAATTATTATGCGGCATCTCTTTACTTTCTGTTATGCGTTTTAAAAAATGTTAGTCGACTATAAAATTCTTTGTGGCCGTACGTGGCGTAATCTACTGGCGCTTCTTTCGGAATGCAAATCACGCTGACGAAAAAGCTTTCGATTCTTTTTGTGATACCTTTTTCGAAAGTAATCCTAAGGCATTATTAATTGATTACGTAACATTCAACCCCATCGGAAGCGGTATTAATGTTCGTGAGAAAAGTACGGATGCGTATATACAAAAATATATTGCTGAGGCAACGTGCCCTTGTTGTAAGCATTCTTATGTATGAATTTCATTTTTGCACTGGAATAAATCGATATATTCTTTTATCTCATTATTTTCAATAATCTGTTGTGAAATGCAATTCTCATATAAAACTGTTTCACGTGACCATACGAGCCGAATAATTCACAGTGTTTGGCAGACAAAAGAAAGTGATGATGTTGATGAATTCGCAGATTTTTTGTACTACAATTTTCAGCAATGATGCAAAAGTTTTGTTTGTCCATTGTATTGTCCTTGAGTCCAGGAGAGCACATTTAGTTGCGCCTCGACAAAACCTGAGTGACCTTTATGTCTTCCAATAAATAACAGAAACCGTGTGTCCTTGCTGTAACAAGTTGATGGTTAATGCGCATCGACAAAATCCGCATCGATTATAAGATTCTCTTTTCTGTGGTTTCATAATTCGGAAATCTATGTACAGCTTTCTGGATTTCATTTTATTATTTTTGTCTTCTTCTTGCGAATAAGGTCATCCCAATTTCTATGTGTCGGGGACACATAGTGCGCAATCGCTTTAACGAGAACACCATTTATCCTTTCGGTAAGGCCATCGGCCTTAGGATTGTATGCCGTAGTCGTACGGTGAGTAATGCGCGCTAGGCGCAATAAATGTCGCAAGAGACTTCCGGTGGAATGAGTCCCGAGATCCGTAAGGATCGACCGTGGGCACCCATGTCTGGAAATAACTTGCTCGTACAGAAAATGAGCCGCAATGGCGGCAGTTGCAGCCTTAACGGGCCGCGCTTCGATCCACGTTGTCAAGTGATCGACAGCAACAATTATGTACCGATTCCCTTAACTGCTCGGTCGGACGGGCGAGCTGGTGGGGAGGGTGCAGATGATTTGCAGCCGGTGCAGATGATTTAAGATTTTCATTTCTTGAAAGGCGAAGAAATCTTCAACGTACTGAAGGTGGGACGATGGCAAGGTGGTAATTTCTGCCGAAAGGTTGGCATTCAACCGACTCTGGATGCCAACAGGAGGGCGAGCTGGTGGACGGATTTTCTCAGTGACGTTAGGTAGATACCAAGCGTGGTAAAATTTTATCCGGTGTGTCGGGTGGGAACGGACGTAATGAACAGATGCGCCTTCATTGCACGTTCGTTCCATTTTTTCCTCAACCGTGAAGCTGAGTTGATGTAGATGGTCACGAATGTGGATATCTCCTATTGGAACAACTGTCCCTCGCTGTTAAGAACCGTGTTAGCGCGACACTTCGTTTGATTTTTGTCAGTTGTCCACACGTAAGTTACGTGTGGATGGACACTGGATTCAGCGCGAATAGACGAAGAGATTTCCCTTGTGGTAGAGAGTACCGGACAGTCGTCACACGTCGTCTCGAGAGTTACATTTTCCAGAAGGCAGGTAACGACTTCGGCACGTCGGAACTGGTTCCACCGGCGGTCAACTACGGGTATCGCGTCGTACACCCACGAACGTCCGCTTTTAGTCATTACGTTTCCATTGCAGACCTTCGTTCTTGCCATCTCACGGCACTGGTCAGCGGTGACCGGAAGTGCGACTTCGAAATTCTGGCTAATATAGCCTCCGAAAAAGAACCCCTCCTGTATCGTACTTTTCATAATCATACGACATACGGAGCCGGAGAAAAGTCGAGTAATGTTCTTATAGTCGAAAATGTAATATTTCACGTCGTGAGTTTCTCGGATCGGGCTATCTAACTGATCGCACCGAATTTGTGCCGAAAGGACGGTGATTCCGACGTATTTACTGCGTGAGCAGTCGCATAGCGTCGTATTTAATCCGGAAGTACCCGACAAGGTACAAAGTAAAAGAAACAGCGATAGCGTCACGAAACTGGGTAAACCAGCGCGCATGCGTTTTGCAGGAACTGGAGGCGGCGGTGCCTCGCTTTCTGGTCCAGAGTCGTCGCTGGTAAGACCTTCCCGATTTCCTGGTTTAGCCGGAGCGTATGCGGGGTTGTGAACCGTAAGTCCCTTTCTCGGTGGTTCTTCGTCCAAATTCACAGTTACGGTAGATTCCGCGTCGGAATCAGAATATGCTTCCAGAGGGGGTGGACTGTCAGAGCCCTTTCTCGCAGTAGAAGCGTTTCCCGTCATCGGAAACAAATGTGCGCAATGAGGACAAGTTGCATAAGTGCCCTTTCCAAAATAGACACAGATATACCGCTCAAACTGTTCTTTCCGTCGCTGTACTTGGCTAAGCTAGCCGTAGGAAATTACGGATTAACACGCGGTTTTCCTGCACCTTTCGCATGCAGATGCGCAACGACACAACTTGATATGACGACACCTTTGTTGGCCTTTCAGTGTAACACTGACCCGGGCCGATGCGATGCCCGGACCATTAATTACTCCGAGCTCAATGCACCGATCGTGAGGTGTAGCAATCGGGCTCAACGTTACGGTCTTTACTTATATAATAAGCTTGTTCCAAATGTCTTCTGTCTAAAATGCTTTTATAAAGCCACCAACCACGAGTTGTTTACCGACGGCTACTTCCAGCATCCTAACGATTTGACCGTTAAAAGTTGTCGTTAGGATGCTGGAAGTAGCCGTCGGTAAACAATTCGTGGTTGGTGGCTTTATAAAAGCATTTTAGACAGAAGACATTTGGAACAAGCTTATTATATAAGTAAAGACCGTAACGTTGAGCCCGATTGCTACACCTCACGATCGGTGCATTGAGCTCGGAGTAATTAATGGTCCGGGCATCGCATCGGCCCGGGTCAGTGTTACACTGAAAGGCCAACAAAGGTGTCGTCATATCAAGTTGTGTCGTTGCGCATCTGCATGCGAAAGGTGCAGGAAAACCGCGTGTTAATCCGTAATTTCCTACGGCTAGCTTAGCCAAGTACAGCGACGGAAAGAACAGTTTGAGCGGTATATCTGTGTCTATTTTGGAAAGGGCACTTATGCAACTTGTCCTCATTGCGCACATTTGTTTCCGATGACGGGAAACGCTTCTACTGCGAGAAAGGGCTCTGACAGTCCACCCCCTCTGGAAGCATATTCTGATTCCGACGCGGAATCTACCGTAACTGTGAATTTGGACGAAGAACCACCGAGAAAGGGACTTACGGTTCACAACCCCGCATACGCTCCGGCTAAACCAGGAAATCGGGAAGGTCTTACCAGCGACGACTCTGGACCAGAAAGCGAGGCACCGCCGCCTCCAGTTCCTGCAAAACGCATGCGCGCTGGTTTACCCAGTTTCGTGACGCTATCGCTGTTTCTTTTACTTTGTACCTTGTCGGGTACTTCCGGATTAAATACGACGCTATGCGACTGCTCACGCAGTAAATACGTCGGAATCACCGTCCTTTCGGCACAAATTCGGTGCGATCAGTTAGATAGCCCGATCCGAGAAACTCACGACGTGAAATATTACATTTTCGACTATAAGAACATTACTCGACTTTTCTCCGGCTCCGTATGTCGTATGATTATGAAAAGTACGATACAGGAGGGGTTCTTTTTCGGAGGCTATATTAGCCAGAATTTCGAAGTCGCACTTCCGGTCACCGCTGACCAGTGCCGTGAGATGGCAAGAACGAAGGTCTGCAATGGAAACGTAATGACTAAAAGCAGACGTTCGTGGGTGTACGACGCGATACCCGTAGTTGACCGCCGGTGGAACCAGTTCCGACGTGCCGAAGTCGTTACCTGCCTTCTGGAAAATGTAACTCTCGAGACGACGTGTGACGACTGTCCGGTACTCTCTACCACAAGGGAAATCTCTTCGTCTATTCGCGCTGAATCCAGTGTCCATCCACACGTAACTTACGTGTGGACAACTGACAAAAATCAAACGAAGTGTCGCGCTAACACGGTTCTTAACAGCGAGGGACAGTTGTTCCAATAGGAGATATCCACATTCGTGACCATCTACATCAACTCAGCTTCACGGTTGAGGAAAAAATGGAACGAACGTGCAATGAAGGCGCATCTGTTCATTACGTCCGTTCCCACCCGACACTCCGGATAAAATTTTACCACGCTTGGTATCTACCTAACGTCACTGAGAAAATCCGTCCACCAGCTCGCCCTCCTGTTGGCATCCAGAGTCGGTTGAATGCCAACCTTTCGGCAGAAATCACCACCTTGCTATCGTCCCACCTTAAGCACGTTGAGGATTTCTTCGCCTTTCAAGAGTTGAAAATCTTAAGTCATCTACACCGGCTGCAATGCAAGGCAGATCGCACCGGGATGGAAACTCTGATTCTGCTCAGTCAGTTGTCGTCGGAGCCAAACTGGGTTTTCCGAAATGTCAAGCCGCAGTCGTTCTCGGAGACTCCGCCACCATTTACGAATTCACTGAAGTGAACGTTACTATTGGAGTAAAATACTCCACGTGCGGACCAGATCCATACATCGCAGCCGAAAACGATGACCGCGGATACACCATTGCTCTCGATGGCGAAACTCTAAAGAGACATTCAGTTTGTCTCCATCGTCACTCCGTGGTCTTTATCCATGGAGCACCTTACCGTTACTAGGATGGTACGTGGACGCCGGTAAACCCGACTTTCCATAAGTCGCTATTTCATTGGCATTTCATGACAAAATTCCTAACCGATAACCTAGAAGAAACTCTCAGTGATTCCTTGTCCGTTGACTCTTCCGATTTTTGGACTTGACGGCCGAATTATCCGGCCTTATGTTGGAGACTGGTATTTCAAATTTGTCGACTATTATAAGTCCAAAATACATACAAAGTACGCTCAAATATATAAGCTGGCACAGCCTTCTGAACATTTCCCTTACGAAGATTACCGTTTTTATTGCTGTAATGTTTTGGTTCGGTATCACCGAACGGTGATCGCGTTTTTAAGCTGTCTTAGAGATTGTTGCCGCCCGCGTTCGCACCGGCAATACGATTTCCAGCCTCGACGGCAGGAAACGGTCGCGGTCACCGCTACCGCTACGGAAACCCAGGACAGGAACCTTTCTCGGACTGTACCCACAGGGACGGTGGACATTCCCATGACGCCGCGTTACCGTCCTTCGGACACGGTTCGACAGGATCCTGTCTACGCTAATGCGCGTATGGACGCCGAGGACTCGGATGGATCCACAATCGGCACCCGGACTCCTTCTCCGGATCCCACGTCTGGCCCACGGACGGAACCGACGGTGACTTTTGGGAATGCGTTGATGGAACAGCGCCGCAAGTTGGCACCAGTTCGTTACGGAACTCCGCCGACCGTGAGCAGCATATAACCGCTTAGCATTAGCTTTGTTTACCGCTGATGTAAAGTCAGCCAGCAAATAATTTAAAGTTTAAAAAAAAACAATTTATTGCAAAACTTCAAAAATTGTATTTTATTTTGTTTATGCTTATATTTTCTTTTCATAATTAATTTAAGTCTGGTTCTCGCTTGTATTTAGTCGAGTTTGCAATGGCCAGGATTAAGTACTTAAATTTTCCAGTAAAAAGGATCACTCTATTTTTTTGTAGAAAATTTATCAAAAATATTGGTCAGGAAATTTCCTTCGGGAATCGTCCAATTTTAGTTCGAATTTCAATAAAAGTTCTTGGAGATAAACCCGGTTCTATCCCCGGGAACCCAGTAATTTTAAGGTTCGCTCCAGCGAACCCAGTTATATTAGGTTCGCTACCTGAAGCTTTAGGTCGCCGATTTTTATCAGTGATAACCACCTGACAACGAACAGTGGGCGATCAGATTAAACGACCGGCATTACAACTATGGGTAGCACATGGTGTTTGTGTGAATGGACTGAGATCGAAATTTTCTGGGGCAAAATTAGATATTGAAATTTAAAATAAAATAGTTAGCGGATAAGCTGGTGCAGCAGTTTGTTTGCACAGTGTCTACGCGAATGAAGAATCGCTCACATGCTTCAAGACTCCTGAACCAACGCAGTCTAGAATCGATGTACAAAACCTGTCTGAAACAGCAATACCATCTGCTGTGAAGTCTCTGCAGAAAACTTCTAATGTCTTTGACCAAAACCTGACAGCAACAACATTGAAAATTGCAGTGAAAGAAAAACAAAAAAAAGAATTCCGTACGAGATCGCACACGCCTGACTCGATCGCAGAAGACGAACAAAAAAAAATTTTCCCAGTCAGACATGAGTTTAGCATCGTAGACTGAATGCACTAAAGTTGCATTTAAAAAAAAGGGAAAAGAGGCGTGTGTTTAGATAAGCGAACGAACAATGTTCGAAACCAGTGACTTAATATCTATAACTTTTGTTGTGTCGGTTTTGCCTCAGGAAATGACATATCTGTTTATTCGCGTGAATACGGTGTGGTGTTGTGGTTTTGGTGTACGGTTAACCGCTGATCAAAGTTCAAGTTCAAGAGCGACCGAATGATATCATCGATCCAACCGCATTTATTATAAAATGGGTCAGGGAACGTAAAATCCAAAACATTTATAAAATGAAAATTTGGTTCCACCCGGTTTTCCCTAATAGCGTTCCAAAAATAAAATGCAGATTATTCCGCTGTACTATCTGTATTTCTTCTAACAGTATCAAGTATAAATATTATTTGCATATTATTATCTGCTATTTCATGGATGTGTTTCGAAAATTTCAAAATGCAAAAATAGCTGCTTTATCGTATTGCTGGTTGACTCGCTTTTCTGTTTTTCTTGTATAATTATGGACTGCGGACAGTCCTTTTTCCACGGAGAGAAGTGTCACGTAAAGATTTCTTTTAGCGATATTCGCACGCGCTAGCCTTTTTCTGATTGCTAATGACGATATGCCCGTACATGCTGTTATCTGATATACCGTTCCACTTGTTGCTCTTTTATACCGCTGTTTTTGCGCTTTCCTGACACAGTTACCACCATACAGTCTGATTTTCTTCAACAATAATCCCTGATTTGAATTGCCGTCTGGTTCGTTGCCGTTTATGCATATTTCCGTAAACACCGCATATTAGACTACGAAACCGGCCGGTCTTATGCCGCCGTGACCTTTCCGTTTATTTTGCTCTGCCATAAATTATGTAACAATACCATTATTGTCCAGGAACAAAATATATTTCCACCATTTACTGAAACGTAGCCGGGCAGATATTAGACACTTAGCCCCGCTCTTCGATTATTAGTCGTGCTGCTAGCATTTTGTCTCACATTGAGTGAACCTATCACGGTTTTCGGATTAGAGCAAGCTAAATCAAGCAACGAGCAGTGCCACAACCTACTCATGTAATGTAAAAACCCACGCAACAACCAAGCTTAAAAATAACTGACCAGAATTATTTTTCAGGGAATTGACTGTGGACCACAAGAGCATCTGAGGCGAAAGCCGAGGATGACTCTTGTACATGTCTATATCAAAACCAGAATCTGGCGATTGGTTAAACGCTTTACCAGTTCCATCACTCGGTAACTTTTTCAATAATTATAAGCAGCTGCGTATAGCTGTCGGCTCTCGATTTAATTTGGACATTGAGCGGGAGCATCAGTGTGTGAAATGCAGAAGGAGAGTGCAACTGCCTCTTACCTCACGAGTTTGTCTGCTCAATGGAATAGACTAATAATACTACTGCTGATCTTGGCAGGAGAACTTCTGTGATAAAGCAAGGAGAAAGATATGGCTGGCCGCCAACCCACTCTGGCCGAAGGCGGTTCCTGAGTCCAGTAAATTGCGGTAGCCGCCTGCTGTATTAGTAGAAATCTTCCAGTCGCTGGACTCCTTCGGACGGCTCCGTTGTCGGCGTGTCTGCCATTTGTGGAACGCTCTTCTCACGACACACGCCCACTTCCCTGATGTGCGCGTCTCCGGCAATTCCGTGGAATATCGCGTTGAGGAATTTCGCGCGGACAGTTTGTACTGGGTGGCGGCAGCCCTGCAAAAATGCCTCCGCAGCGACACCAAACTGGCGGTAGTCAGTCAATTGTCGCTGCAGGACGCTAGCGGCCGGCAGCTGTCTGCGCCGATTAACCATATCCTCCAACCGAGACGTCTGCCCGTGCTGGTGTTCCATGACTGCGATGTCGGCGGATGGATGGATCGTATCCAGAAGGTGATCAGCGAAACGGTGGATCTAGTTGTGCAGTGTGCTTGCGACAGGGTGGTGGGGAAGCAGTGCCGCCTCCCTAATAACAGTTTTAAGGCGCTGGTGTCGCAACACGCATTCAACGTCCAGTCGCGCCAGCAGATGGAGGTGCAACTGTGGGATGTGTTCGAAAGGAATCTGGTACTCACAGAGCCCCTGGATCGACAGGCCGTTCAGGATTGGATCGCGGAATCTATTCCTCGTGCGCTGAACGGTCCGGGAGCTTCGGATGCGGTTCAAGTGATTTTGAAGGTAAAAAGTGTCAGAGCGGCATCCGAGCTCTATAGGATCGTTCGATAAAATATTTCAGTACAATTTGTATGCTTTGCCGAAAGCCTAGTGGTGCCTCTCTCGGCCTTAGAGTATGGAGGTCGTGGGTTCGATTCCCTCAATCGGCAGAATTTTTTCGAGTGTCTGTGCGAGCCTAGCCCAGCCCTAACAACAGGCACTATTAACGCTCGCATTATTTCACCTTCGATTTACATCGCTCTTTCTATGCAAAAGGCAGATAATAAAAGGTCGCTCGGAAAGTCCCTCATGTAGTCATGTAGGTTTGCACCATAGTGCCGGTATTAAATTGTTTCGAATTGGCCGTTACTGTTTGCAGGCGTTGAACGAATATCAGAGTGCCGATCCTCGAGAGTCCACACCCTACCGCCAGCGGGAGTGGACGGCGTGCAATGTCGCCGATGTGGATGTTCGTCAGTTGACCACTCTGACGTTGGCGTTCGTAAATGAACACCGTCAGCCGGTAATTTAGCCAGCTTCCAGTGCTTGCGATTTTGCTCGGGGTATTCTTAAAAATTAATTCAAAGGCTGAACAAAATGGTTGAAAGCTTATTTGATGTAAAAACGATCTGCATTGTGCTGGACTTCTTCATTTCAAATTTGAACAGGATCGGTTTGTAATGAGACTTTTGGCACAACTCCGTGTGTATAAACGTTTGGAATATTGTATTATCGGTAACTCCACAGCCGGACGTTGCGCGAATAAACGGTTTTCACGCCTGTGTACACAATTCATTTGGCCATAAAATGTCATACATTACTGCAAAAAAGTGTTTGGGAGTGCGCGAAAGCGAAATTTTTCGTGCATGTATTCACTGTTAAAGTATAAACAGCAGTGCCGAAATTAATAAATTTGATTTTTCGCAAAGACAAATAAAGTTACGCATCAGACGACCGACCTCCATTACTAAGGTAACTTGAAGTGCAAAAGCTGATGAGCCCGGCTCCAAATTTCTTCGCCTTCCCGGTGACCCAGCACACTGTCACTGGAATTGCCGCATGCTCGTATCAGCGACAAATAAGCCGCCTGCAATTTACAGAGTATACCGTTAAATACATATATCGTTTTGGTTGGCAGGTAAAAAACGAACGAAACGATGTAGAGAAGCTGCTCAAACAGTGTAGTTTGTAATGGAAACACAATCTTTTTCACAACGAATGGAAACGATGATAATTATTCGCGTGTAATCGGCTACCCACCACTGACATATAACGCGCCCATCAACGCTGGAACTGGATGCATTTTCATTGTTGATTGGCAGTTAGAAACGCAAACGATTAATAATAATAATCATACTAACCGGCAACTTTTCCTATCTGATTGTACCGAGGTTACTACAAGCGTAAAGAGAGCTGCAATTCATACAAAGTCATATAAAGTAATTTTCATGGAAGCTTCATTAGGTCATGGCGAAGAGTTTGATTAACTCCATTTTATTTCACGTTTGGTTCGCAGAATTTTAACCGCATGTTCAACATCGTCCGCCTTTACTTCTAGTTAGCACAACAGTCAATTAACTCAGCAGGAAATATAATAATACAATGTCACCCAGCATCAGTGACATCACAAAGTCTATGATGCACTTTACCATAGTACTGACAACAATATTAACTGTATTGCCGAGAAATGAGATTGAGCTTAATTTTACCGGTCATTAATTTTGTTAGTACCAAGGTTTATTCCATGAAATTTCCGCAGTAGTCAGCCAAAGTATGCAGGGATGATTTGATAAACCGTTACGTCTCTCGCATTACCGCAAATTTCCGTCAAGGTCCATGGAATGCCTTTTTGGCGTCGGTTATCTTCTCTGCCGTGCTGCGCGCGTCCTTCACTTCGCTGACCACACTGTGCCTCTCCTCGCCGCCGGATTTTTCATGCTTCTCGGTGATGACGCGCTGCATATCTCCTGGACGGCCTTCGTAAGCGTCCTGGGCATTCTGAATCTTCTCGCTCGAAGTTCGTTCCATGGTACAGTGGATTGGCTGGATTGGGAATGTACAGTCAAAACAGAAGAAAGATCAACAGTTTTCCCGTGATTATTATGTCTGTGAATTGACGTTGTAGTGCTACGCGGCTTCGCTTTATAAACCAAACCGCGCGATTTCCCTCAGGCATACCGTGTAGCCGGTGTAGGTGTACCACCGTGTTATGCATTAATAAGCACCATATTAGCGGTAGTCCCCGCTGTAATCGGCATTCCCCGCGTAAAAATTAATGCTCGTACTGGCCTGTATTGTACGAGGCACGTCCGTTGTTCGTATCAATTCTGTCGATCATGGCCTTGCACTTTATAGCCAGTGGCGTGTCGTGTCAAGTATCAGAGATAAGACGGCCGATTCCGGTGCGTTTTGGGTCTGCCCCAGCGTACAGCGAAAGTCGCCCCAGGACAAATTTGCGTTTGTCAAGCACACTCGGGAAAATATGTATGTAACGCAACGCATTGTAGGTGTGACCGACACTGAAACGCAAGAGCTATGTTGAATGAGCAGCGGTCGCACGGCGTCACTGGAATCTCCATAAAATCATCGTAATTCAGGATTATTTTGCAAGTTATTCTTTAAATATTTAGGCTTTACAGTATTGTCATTTTCGTTGGTGCAGTATAAGATCGTCGATAGTTCACAGTTTCACGAAAATGATCAAAATAAATTTTTACGTATATGCCGCTGTGGCACTCGTAGCAGAGAATGCCGGTATGCGTTCGCATAACCGAAATGATTCTATTGGAAAGCGGGATCAATAACGACTCAGACAGGACGCTGTCCGTTGGTATCTCAGCGAGGGAGGGCGGCCTAATGAAGTCCGAAAGAATTTCCTGTTGAGGAAACTGGGAAAAATGGCGATGGAGCGGAATCGAACCGCTGGTTACCGAGTGTGGTCCACGTAGCACAGCCACTGTGCCATCGCCATTTTCGAATTTTCTAACGGCATATTTTCACAAAGTTTTCGTCGCTGCCAAGCACATCCGAGACCACTTCATCCAATAGAAGAAAGAAAAGAATCAAAATCCGCTTACTTGATGCAAAACAGTCCACACTGAATTCCGTTTACTCAGACATTAGCATCATACGTTAGCCGTGTCATATTTAGTCATGTGCTTGATCGAGACAGAGCAACAAAATAATCTCTCGCATCTGCACACGCCTTTGGGCATGCAAAGCTGTCCGAAAAATTTAATTAAGCAGACTTCGCTGCCTTGAATAATGTATGTGTTCAGATGGAATGCATGTGTTCCAGCAGGAGATACCATACCGGCTGCCTTATTGCTGAGCGCTGTGAGCAACACCAACTAACAGGAGCTTAATTATTGATTAGCAATGGATAAATCAAGCGGCTAAGGACTATAATGAATGGTTGGAAATACAGCTTGAAGGTATATTTGGTTGCCGGTAATAGCCCCGGCAGTGCAGCAGGCCAAGTATGCAGTTTTCATTACGCCGCGATCACTTATTTTTCGTCGATAATCTAACGTTTTGTGGTGGAATATCAGGATGTCAGAAAATGCCGGCTTACGCATGCACGTCGTGTTTCTACTGTTTATTTTCTTCGTTTGTGTTGATGCTTCCAGTTGGACAGCGAATAACAGCAACAATCATCAGGAACATCATATTAATCTGAGCGCATTCAATGACAGCGTGGGAAACCACAGTCGTGCTGGAAATCACAGCCATTTCTATGTCCGTCGCTATTCCAGAGAACAAGCCCACGAAGTGTACCTTGCTTGCCGGCCTGTTAATTTCTGCCTGCTGATTCTGTGCACCGTGGGCAATGGACTGAATCTGGTGGTGTTAATCCGCAGTGTACGCACGTGGAGAACATCCGCATGCCATTACATGATCGCAACAGCCGTTGCTGATTTATTAGCATTGTAAGTTAACGACACTTAACCACTGAAACATAAAGTAAAGACTTCATATTTTTTTTCCGTCGGACACCCTTACCAATAGACAAGCTGTTCAAAATTTTAATAAAAAGAAACATTTGAACGGTAAAACGAAAACGTCCACTTTTGTACTACGGTTTAGCCGGCTTTACACCCTTCACGCTAAAAAACCGGTTTTTGCGCTTTAGGTACCCTTCTTATTGTACCGTTAGAATGCGAACATTTTTATTTGAAAACCGAATTATGCATGACTGTGTCAGTAAAAGAAACCATTAAGAGCCAGCGAAAAGCTGCACTTTGTAACATCCAGAGTTCATTTAACTTTTCCGCTTCGCCCGTTGTGTACCGTAAGTGATTATGAACACAAAACCACTTAAGTGGAGTATGCCGGCCCGGTACATGGTACCAAATTCGGGATATTTCCGTGACAAACAGCAATGAATGCTGCTTGACCCTATACGTGTCCTGGGCGGCGGGAAGAAACTATTGTTCTGAACTGTTTAGACATGTATTTACGGTCTCCCCACTGCGCTCCATCTCGACAAAGCCGAAGGTCTCGTTGGATCCACCGACGACGATGGCTGGCGCCAAGCGCCGTGGTCCTGTTCGCTTTTGCGGCACAGGGCTTCAACAGTGTCTCCGGCAGAAAAGCGAGCAAGCCCATGAAATCAAACAAAATGGGGCCGAAACAGCGGTCAAACGGCACTACATCGGCATGATGATCCGGATAATCGAAATCGATGCGGAAGCTCCGCTCCGGCGGAAGGGGCTCGGTGGTCATTGCCTGGCGGAAGGATTTGTCGTCGTCTTGCACGGCGACGGCGCCGTAAAGCCACGCGCAGTCTCTGAACATGGTCCGAATAAGGTTGCTATCGGATAGCTAAGAGCGATCCACCAAATTCTGGCAACAAAGTAAGTTTCCGCGTTGTATTTCTGGAGAGAGGAACAATCTACTAGTCTACTTTAAAATGTGCTGCCTGTCTTCGTAAATGCTGTTGCTGTGTTCGCTGTTGCCTCAACAATCTAAGCGTATCAGTTAGCGTCATTCTCGGCTGCAGGAAAAATCTTATGTTTACAGTATCGGCCTGTGCAGTTTCCTGTACAGAGCCGGCGCACATATGCCTGGCAATAACGCCGGTTAGTCTCCTTACCAAGAATTCCTCCTTACCAAGATCGACAGACAATAATAATTATTAACAAAACAGAAAGACAAACAGAAAACAACGAGTTTCATGCAGCTTCTCCTTGGTCCATGGGCTTTTCTTTGATAACTTTAACTGGTCCAGTGTCTTTTGAAAGGGATCTATCTGTGTTGTACCAGGAATGAAGGTTGACATCGTAATTATTAGACATCGTACAAGTATTTGCATCATACTACATCGTATAAAATTTTAACAAATGGAGAAACAGGCACTGTCACAGCTGCGTAGTTACGGTTGATCGGCTGGCAGTCCTGGTATCGAGACTGCATGTTCAAAGCAAGGCAGTACGAGTACCGCTTGATTTGGAGCGATTCCAACGATACAGTGTCAAACTAAGCCGACCGAACTTGCATCTGGCCAGCGCGTGCAGCCAGGAGGATCTGCAGTGGTGGAATGGCCAGCACGGGAGTGACTTACCGGCTTTGCCGGCGAAGATTGAAGAGGGCTGCCTGATCCACATTAACCGCGGCACAAAGCCCCACTCCCGTTTTGCACCTGCGAATTTTGGAGAACTGGTAAGAACACGCTTTTTTGCCCTGTATGTTGGAAGGTGGCTGGGAATCGGCCGGAAAAATTGACGACTCACGTGAGTCCATTCAGCCGGTTATTCGGTGTGTGGGTGTTTTGTAACTGATGACCTTCGAGCTGTTGTTAAATATAATGTAGCGTGCTTAAATTTGCGTCAGCGTTTTCGATTCTCCTTCTTTCCAAAGACCAACATTGTCCTGAGAATGCCTGACCGTTCACGGGATGGCGAGAATCCTTACTCTAGTGCTTTTGCCTACGTTGCATTCCATAATCAATACTCTAAAGCCTGGTTCGCAAAAGTTACGTTATCAAAGTGGTACTATCATAAATATCCGGCACCCTACTCTTAGAATGTCTATCACGCCTGAGAAATTTTTGTTGTTTTTCTAATGTTTAAATTTAAATCATTTTTAAGGAGTGTCTTCCAACCGGAAGCCGGGAGGGTGAAAGCACGAGAAGTACGAGTCTTGAGCAACTGAGTACAGGCTGAGGCATTTGCCACTAACGTTTTAAACTTCAGGTGTTGTCGGCACAGCATGTGTCACGTTCTCTCGAGAAATGGAGACTTCCATGAGAAAGCCATGAGAAAGCCATGAGAAAACGTCACGGAAAACGTCTACGATCATGTCGAATTAAGTACTTTAAATCTAAAGGCTTCAAATTTTTTTAACTTTTGATAAATGATGTTCTTTAGACACTTTATGATTGGTCTTCTCCCCGAGTTGGCCGTTAAGTCAAACTTTGTACGGACGTTAGTGTGATTAATCATTAAGCTTCAAACTTCAGTTTAGAAAAACTAGGGCTGCACGAAGTCGGAAAGGTACCGGAAATGTGACCAAATCGTTAAAGTGCAGATCGGACCGCCCAGAACGACGGTCCCGTTTGATAGCGCGAATTGTGGCAACTTAAAAGAAATACAGTATATGCAGTACTTAAAAGCTACTCGTAGTTGGTAGTCGACTAGTTTCTCTAATTTGCTGAGCTTAAGTTATCTAAACCTTTGGCAATATTTTCCTTTGCTGATAATAACAGTCTTGTCTGTGTTTCGGGTTCCTTATTGAAACGAAGTCTCTGCTGTTTCGCGCACATTAAAGCATAAAATCCAATTCCTTCTCTCGCAAAGAGTCACTGTATAGAGTAGATTTTACGAACACTACAGGCGAGTTAACGCGACATGCATATTTACGGAGCCGATATGCATGAGGTTGGCCCATGGAACGCCGTGGATGTTCAGCTCGACGACGGCCAGCTGCAGCACGGCGTCGTCGTCAACGTGGCCGAGGGCGGACTGATCGTTGATTTCCGCTGTGCGGGACAGCGCGCGCAGTTCATCGAGTACGGGCGCATTTTTCGCTGCCTTTCCACGGCCGGATGGAGCCCGCAGCAGGACGGCGAGCCGGTGCAGGTCCTGCTGCGCCGGCCTGTGGACGGTGCCTGGATCTGGCATTCGGGCCAAGCCGCTTCTTGGGAGAACTTCTTCTTGGAACATGCTGATTGTGTGCACCCAGTGCAGGTGAAGCTGCCTCATGGGACCGCCAAGGAGCTGGTTCCCCACGGCCAAATTCGCCCACCGCCCACGGACACCGGTCTACGCAAGCGGCGCGTGGAGAAGGATGATTTTCTCATCCGCTGCTGTGCACTGCCGGCCGTCTACTGGTCCGAGGCGTCCACCGCTGTCCGGGAGATCTTCCAGTACGGACTGAACCAACGCTCCCGTATGCGGTGCACCGCGCTGCTCAGCCAGACGTTCAACTATCTGCAGTGGCGCATGGACACTCCTTTGACGCCGCAGCAAATGGTACGTTCCGATGCAGCCAATTCCGAAAAACAATGGCAGGCCCGCTTTCTGCGGGCGCGAATTTGGGATGGATCGCGGATTGTCCGGGGGTACTGTGTTAGCTTTTTCGATATTACAACAGCGATGCTCTTAGAGCATGTTTAACCGAAAGGCTTATTTAGCACTCCGAGAGAGCCTTTTCCGGTTGGACAGCCTTCGTTTCTGGTTGGAAAAGGATGTCACGAACCAGTTATGATTACCGTTGTCAGAGCGGCATACGCTCTTTATAGGATCGTTTGATAGAACATTTCGATACAATTTGTATGCTTTGCCGATAGCCTAGTGGTGCCTTTCTCGGCCTTAGAGTACTCGTATGGAGGTTGTTGGTTCGATTCCCTCAGTCGGCAGATTTTTTGCGAGTGTGCCGTTTACGGAAGCAAGAAATGCCAGACTACAGACCCAGATTAATTAGAACATTCCGTATGAACGCTAAGAGAATAAAAACTAAAATGAGGTTTAGAAACAGTATGGGCAATTGGATAGCTTCGTCCAGCCATGCTTTTTGTCGCTCTTGGCTAACTGATTAGAACTTATCAGAGCAGGCATGCCGCAACATTCATCCGCCTTAAGGTCTTTTTTTCCGGCTGTCCTCGCATTTTTCTTTACGTCCGTCAAAGTGGCAAAATATGCATACGAACCATATATGTCCATAAAAACTGACTTCCGTGATGTACGCCGGCTTTGTGATCCGGCATGCTTGACGGAGATTGAGCCAAACGGCCTTCTGGTTATATTCCAAAATTAGTTTCGCGAAAATACGAAATTCTAAAGCTGGTTTAAAGTTCAACCTAAACGTAAACCGACACCACTTCCTGTTGGGTGGGATACATTCAGGATAATTCCAACAGATTTCCAGCAGATCTTATTCCTGCAACTTTAGACCTTTGGTCAAACATCCATTTCGTTTTCCACTGACTGATAGTTCATACTTTTCGCTTGAATTCGAGAATAACGTCTGTACACCGGCGATTCATCCATGTATGCGTCCCAAAACTAAAAAGTTGTCAGAATCAAAATTGCATCTGTATGAAATGGGAATTTTTATTAACAGAAACTGGCCTTTAGACTTCGCACAGTATTTTTAAATTGTTCATTTTGGGAAGGTTCTTATGGAATTCTTCACCGATGTAGCTAAGAATAAAAATGTATGAGGAAAATTACTGTGTAACATGATATCACCGACTTACCTTCATTTTGTTTGTATTTCTTTGTACAGGAAACGAAATATTATACAACGAGTTACTAAAGGAGGACGCTGAGTTGGGCCGCGCATCCCCGACATGGAAATCGTTCCTCCGCCAGCGCGGGGCGGTTGGCACACCGCAGCGGAAGATCTCCAGCGGTCAGCTGCGCAGTATGTCGCTGCCGCCTGAACTGCTGGTGGAGGTCTTCCTTTCGCTGGACTCCATCGGGCGTGTCCGTTGTCGGCGTGTCTGTCCGCTGTGGAACAGTCTCCTTACCACCGGCGCCTACTTCCCGGATGTACGAGTCTTCCACAGCGATGCGGATTATAACGGGCTGGACGATTACGAACACACTCTGTACTGGATGATGGTCTGCTTGCTGAAGTGCCTGCACAGCACCACCAAAATGGTGATTGCCATGAAAATGCGCTGGTACGAATTCGGCGAATTGGAGAATCTGATGTACGGCATTCTGCAAGCCACCGGCGCACCGTCGGTGGTGTTCTACAAGGGACACTTCGTTGTGGATAAATTCGATTTTCTGGACGATGTAGTCAGCTGTCTGGCTGATCTGGTTGACCCTGGCGGCCGCGTTGTCTGGCGACAGTGCCTCATCGGGGATCGGTACATAACCGCCAGTGTGGCACATCATTCATCCGTCGGCCATACGGACCACGCCGAGGTGGAAAAGGGGCTGTGGGAGGCCGTGGAGAAGAGTCTTACAGGAGAGCCGATGAACGGGCAGGCGCTGGCCAAATGGATTGCTGACTGCACTGTGCAGAAGCGGAAGAAGCACATCGATGAAATTGTTCAGGTTAGTTACCTCTGGTTGCGTTGATGAAAAACCTACAAAAAACGGCACACCTACAACTCGCTGACGCCTATCCTGCTGACCGACAACTTGCTGGCGACTTTTTGCTGACTGAGGAAATGATGACCCGACAGTTTGTTGCAACGACAATTCGTTGAACGACGTTTTGTTGAACGCCTTTTTGTGAACACCGACAACTTGCTGCCGACAATTTGTTGACTTGAGAAACCCAAGAAACCTAAGAAAACTAAGAATGACCTAAAAACCCCAAGAAACCTCAGAATAAGCAAAAATAAGTTGAGAAAACTGAAAAAACCGACGTCCCGAACTTGACAACAAGTTGTGGATCAGCAAAAATATTTCGAGTTTTCGACAAAACGTCGGTCAACAACTTAGCCGAAAAGCAAATTGTCGGTCAACAAGTTGTCGGTCAGCGAGTTGTGTAAGTCAAAAGCATGTCGGTCAGCAAATTGTAGGTCGCGCTTTAATTGACTGTGATACCGTTTAGAAAACTGGTCTGTCCACAGCTAACGTATTTTGTTATTCATCGGAAAACCGTGTGTCGATGGGAAAAAAGTCGCCAGGTAGTTGCATGCGGCGGACCACAAGCCGTAGGGGCGGCCGTTTATTTCTACTGATGGCGCTACTGTGTATGATGCGCAGTGACTGGTGAACATGTGCTGCAGGTCCTCAACCATTACCAGCGGGCGGATCCGCGCGAGTTGACTCGCCACCAGCACGGCAATCGCGAGTGGAAGGAATCCGATGTGCCTTGTGTGGATGTCGGTCAGCTGACAACACTGACGGCGGCGGCACTGAGCGCGCTGGCATCGAGGGAAATGACTGAAGGCTGATTTCGCTGTGAATATCAACAACATGCTGGGATCGATTTTTTCCTGCGTTGTCTTCCTTTGGGGGTAGTTATTTTTATCCGCTTATGACTATGTTCAAACTCACTTTCTAATGTTTCTTCTAAGATTTTACAGGTACTTGTAAGAAGGATTACTGTTGGCTATTTTGCTTATTTAGCATAACCGATAAGCTGCCTTTTTTCGCTAACGAATGAATTACGAATGGTTGTCGAATAATTTGGCTTCTACGGGCTGAAGAGAATTTATTCATTTATCATCCAGCACGCACCAACGAATAAAACAAAAATGTTTCTGACGTTGAATGCCGCAAACTAACCGCCCGCAGTGGCGAGTACGTTGAGGACAGCGGATTCGCTGTTGGAGCTTGACTGCGTGAGTTTCAAATGTTGCGAACAGTTACTTTTTCTGCAAATAGCAAGTACCACTGTTAATTCTGTTTTGTAACGTTTTTTGCTGATGTACGGTACTTGTTTCGCGTTCCTCCTTTATGTAAAGCCCGCCCTCTTCCATCCGCGGAGATAAGTATGGAATCCCCTCTCCAGCACTGCCTTGTGTTTACGAATAATCATGGAGCCTGTTCGCAGATAAGACACGATGTTTGTATACGGAGACGAGATGCATTGGGTGGGCGACTGGAACGCCGTGGACGTCCTGGTCGACGGCGGCTACCTGCAGCACGGCGCCGTCATCAACGTGGCGGAGGGCGGCCTGATCGTCGATCTCCGCTGCGCGGGACAGCGCGCGCAGTTCGTGGAATACGGACGCATTTTTAGCTGCAGTTCCACGGCCCGATGGCGCCCGGACCAGGCCGGCCAGCGGCTACAGGTCCTGCTGCGCCGTCCGACCGACGGGGCGTGGATCTGGTATCAAGGCGAATCCGTCGCCAGGGGAGAACTACACGCTAAACATGCGGCCAGCGTGCAAGTGCAGCTACCCTTTGGGACCGTCAAGGAGCTGGTTCCCTGCACTCAACTACGCTCACCGCTCACAGACGCCGATCGTCTGCAGCGCCGAGTGAAGAAGAATGATTTTGTGATTCGCGACTGTCTGTTGCCGGCGGGCTGCTGGTCGGAGGCGTCCTCCGCGGTCCGGGAAATCTTCCAGTACGAAGTCAACCAGAGTTTCCATGTGCAGTGCACGGCGCTGCTCAGCCAGACCTTCAACTACCTGCAGTGGCACGCTGACACTCCCTTGACTGCTGAGCAAGTGGTATGTTTCACACTTGTTCTATGCTTCAGAAACTCTCGAAAGTTTTCTCTCGAAAAGCATTTTACCGAGTGCAGACATCTTACATTTCCCTTCTTTACCCCACACGCACTGTTTCGAAAACCAGAGCAGAGAAAGTGTAATTATCGCGCAAATATCTGTGCTTATGGTTTTTCTTTGCCTCCGCCATGGTGGCGTCCGCGCCGGTCACCTAAATCAATTAAAAATAAATTGCTTAATTTAAAAATAAATGTTGAAGAATGAAGATATTGTTTGCTTATGTTAGTTATGTACGAAATCATCAACGTTCTCCCTGACACAAGTTGTCTGGTGCAGGATTTCGAATACACCAAGACCGTGAAGGAAGACGAGGAGATGGATCGTAGCACCCTGACCTGGAAATGGTTGCTCCGCCAACCCGGGGTGGTTAGTGCCCCGCAGCGGAAGGTTTCCACCGGTCAGCGCAGCACCCTGCCGCTGCCGGCTGAACTGCTGCTGGAGGTCTTCCGCGCCCTGGACTCCATCGGGCGTGTCCGTTGTCGGCGGGTTTGTCCCCTGTGGAACGCTCTCCTCACCACCGACGCCTACTTCCCCGAGGTGCGCGTCTCCAACAACGCTGCGGATTTTAACGGGGTGGATGATTACGAACACACGCTTTACTGGATGACGGTCTGCCTGCTGAAATGCCTCAACAGCGCCACCAGAATGATCGTCATCACCGGCATCGAGTTGGACGAATTCTCCGCACTGACCAGTCTGATCCGGAGGGTGTTCCGTGCGAACCACTTACCAGTGGTGTTCTACAAGGGGGATTTCGTTGAGCCGGATGGGAATGTGGACGCTCTCATCGACTGCTTGTCTCGTCTGCGCGTACCGAAACAATCACGCGGCCGCATCGTGTGGCGACATGTTCTCATGGGAGATGAGAAGATGGCGGCAGCATTGGCGTATCATGCATTCCGCGCCGGTCTGGTTGGCAGGGAGCGGGAAGCGGCGTTTTGGGAGGTCTTCGAGAAGAATCTGGTCCTTACAAAGCCGCTGGATCGACCGGCCGTGGAGAAATGGATTGCTGACTGTGTTGCTGAACAGCGGAAGGAAGACATGGAAAAGATTGTCGAGGTCAGTTGGGTAGTTTAGTTTATTCACTGAGCAGACAATCCATCGAGTTTCTTGTAAGAACGCTTATGCTGTATTTACAAGATTGTCTCGCTGTTTGTGTCATAAAGGTACAGATAACAAGTATTCCGCTACGTCTACCACAACGACAAATTCACTTCTCTCAAGCTTTAAGAATCAATGAAAAGGATAAATTTTTCCGAAATAATGACCAGAAAAATTCGCCTCTGGTGAATAAGTTGGCTACTATAGGACAAATAATAATGCTACGCGTATTAAGACAACCAAAAAGCAGGAAAGTCCGTATTTTAGATTTTATGTCGATAGGTTCTAATTTTGTTTGAAATCTGCCATCCATCAACGAGGCATTTTGAGCGCAACTGGTGCGCGTGTCGCGCCATAGAATGGGCGTTGGCACAACTCGTGAATTTGAATTTGTCGCCATGTTATCTGCGTTTAAAATTGAGGGATAAGCATTTACTGTACCTACAACATGTCTTGCAGGCCCTGCTGAATTACCAGTGGGCGGATCCGCGCAAACCTAACCCTTACTGGAAAAAGAGCTGGACCCTGTCTAACGTTCGCCGACTGGACGCTAGTAAGCTGTCTACGCTGACGGCGGCGGTGCTGAGCGAAGGCATTGTTTGATTCAGACGACGGATGTTCCCGAATAACTGCCAACCAATAATCCGGGTCCGTATTTGCCTTGCAGCATGTTCCTTTCAGCGGTAGCTTCATTGTTAAACTTAAACTTACGTGCTTGAATTGTCAACTGCCGTTGGCTGTACTGTATTCATCACTTTTTGGTTAATTATTGTCGGACTATAAAATCGGGAATGTCTGTACAATTCCTGACCGATAGCGTAGAGGAAGCATTTTTAATGTGAATTTGGTTTTTTTTCTAGTAGTGTACTCATTTTGCACTTATAAGTCATAGTTATTACAACTGAAAGGTGCTGGTCACTCGTACTGGTTACTCGTATGCCTGTGCTGATAAACACTAATACTTTTAATAGGCAGCAGCCATCTAACAGCACTAGGTGCAACTTTGCAAGCCCGTGCGTGCTACTTCGCAGTTAATTAGAATTGATTCGAATTCAAGCACTAAACATACTTTGTTAGCTCTGTATTTGAAAACCGAGACACACATGTATCAATAACACAAAACCATTATATGCTGAAAAGCTGACTTTATAACATCCAGATTTCATTTAGCTTTTCCGCTTCGCCAATAGTGCCCATAATTGAGGCCGCATTGCCTCGCTGTATCTCCAATGAGATACGCTGTCGGAGAAATTCGTGCGAGCGTTTTTCTCCAGAGGTCCCAGACGCTTCCTAGCTCCTTAATCAAGGATAGCCGATGGACCCCAAGCCCCCATAGTTTCAGCCATTGGGGCGAAAATGTATCGACCGTTCAAGTACGAGTAGAATCTGATTTCTTTTCTTCTGTCTGGACAGCGGCCGCTCCCGCAGTTGTCGCGGTGGATTTGACATGGGAAGCAGCAACAGTATCGACACATGTGACATCCCAAGCCAAGCATTTCTCTTTTCCATGCGAAGGTTGTACAGCCGTCAGACGTCGTTCATTCGTGTAAGAGGTGCCGCGTGGTTCAAGTTTAGCTGGGATACCTGCCGAGACGAAGGCGCGGCATACAATGCTGTTGAGAGCACCATGTCGCGGGTGCCTTCCGGCCGAGAAAGTGCATGATAGACCGTGATGAGCGTACATCAACAGACTTGTGGCATTTACACATTCATGTGGATCACAGATCACAGCACCGAGTCTAAGGCCGACAGAAATTTTGAGCGTGTCGTCGTCAAGTAGGTTGCCGATATGAGCGGAAGGCAGCGCGTTAAGCCAGACACCAGCTTCCGGACTTGACTGGGCTACATCCTTGCACTTCGACGGCCGGGTATCAGCGCACAAATGCAGACCGGTTACTTAATGCTGTCCAGGTTGTGTATTTTGTACAGTACACACTGCGGTCTGCTTTTTAGTGCGATACGATAATATTGTAGCCGTACAAATGAGATCTGTAGTGAAGATGTACATCTCATTGGTGCTAGTACAACCGGAAACATCTGAATGTGTACTTGTACGAGATGACCCGTTCTAACGTGGATTTTCTAGACTTCTGAGATTGTCTGAATGTTCTGAAATCATTCTTGCTCTGGCCCTTGCCCTTGCTCTTCCCCAATTACTTTTCAGCTGATTAAAAATGTTTGTGCAGCTTGACAATCGCGCCGGTATCGGTTAACATCTTCGCAACTGCATAACTGACTTTTTGGGCACTGCTAACTCCGTAACATCACCGACGAACCATCAAACCTCGTTTTATCGTGGTACGGTGGATTAACCCACTCCACTAGTGGCAGCTTAGAAGTTGCCGTTGCAGTATTATACTGCAATAGCTTGAAGCCTTTCATACTACGAGGATATTAGGAGACAGGATATTAGGAGACTTCAAACTGATAGTCTAATACTGCAAAACTCACACCGCCTTCATGCCAAGCTCCCTCAAAGAGAAGTATGCTAAATGCAAGAAGTTTAAATCGCTAACTTTAGAACTTCGTGCATGCCAGCTTCCTATTTGTCCATAAAATTACTTTTGCATTTTTCTTAACTAAAGCTTCAGTCGATGGGATAAAATCGAAGACTTCTGAGTAATACCGAACCTATCTGTACAGGTGTTGACCATCTGACACACATGGCAGTTGACACAAACATATCTAATAGGTGTGCGAAGTTTTAGTTATCGTAGCTGAAAAGCTGAAGGAGGCAACCAGCGGGTGTTTCCCCTTCGCTTTAGCACAAAAAGTATGCAATATTACTTTTCCTGCTGCATCCTTACCGTGTTTTGCCGCACACGTGATACTGCGCTTTATTTCACCTATGACACCGGACACGTACAAGTACAACGTAACTAATTTCGTTTTTTCTGGCTGATTTTGTTAATCATGTTTTGCAGAGAGGCGTTCCGGACGACATTAGACCGTTTTTTTTTTGAGCAAGGCTAACTCCCTTGCCAAAAAAAGACGGAGAATTCGGCCAATTGCAGTTAGAAACGTTTCGCCGTTTAGTCTCTAAAATAATAACCCACCGTTGTTCTGACAAGATGAAGGAATTGTGCGGCACTGTGCAGTATGGCTGTGGCACGAAAGGCGGAGCCGAAGCAATTATTCACGGGGTCCGCTCGTACCTGGAAGCTACACACGACGGAGAGCGAGTACTGGTAAAGCTGGATTTTAAAAACGCGTTTAACCTTTTGAGACGGGACGCGTTATTGGAAGCCGTAAGACAGCATTTTCCCAGTTATTACGGCTATTTCTGGCAATCTTACCGTTACGCGAGCCATTTGATTTGTGGGGAAGAAGTTTTGTCGTCCGCCCGGGGGGTACAGCAGGGCGATCCAAGTGGCCCCTTCGGCTACAGCCTCACATCGCTACCGCTCTTCGATAGACTGGATTGCGATCTGTTTCTGGGCTTTCTTGATGATGTTACTCTGGCCGGTACCATGGAGAAAGTGATCGCCGCGATAAAAAATATTGAAGAAAAAGGGAAGAAGATGGGCCTTGAATTGAATTTCAACAAATGCGAGTTTTACCTCATCAATTCAGCTGCGGATGCGGGTAAGCCTTTGTTGGAAAATTATGGCCAAAAATGATCCAGTTGAATCCAGATAATCTTTACCTGTTGGGCACACCTGTACAACCAGCCGGTTGTGCGAAATTCCTGATGGAAAAGAAAGATCACCTATGCAAGTTTGTTCAGCGGCTCACGAAGGTACCTGCAAATTACAGTGTTTTTCTTTTAAAAAATTGCCTTAGCATCCCCAAGGTTTTATATGGCCTACGCACTGCCCGATGCTATGAATTTCCAGAGCTGTTGAAAGATTATGACAAACAACTGCGGAATGGTGTGGAACAGCTGACCAACGTAAGCATAACAGAAGCCCAATGGATGCAGATTTAGGCTTTACCAGTTCGGCGTGGTGGATTGGGAAAGCGGCGCATAGAGTCACTAGGTATTTGTGCCTTTTGGCATCGGTGTACGCTATGCAGCCTCTCGTTTCCAAATTTTACGCGCGAGCTGGTGACCATATGACGCAATCGGCTGTAGAGAACTGGCTTCTGGTGACACACTGCTCGCTACCAGAAGATTGTGTGCGAAAGTTTCAATACGTGGATGTACCGATGATTGACAGGGATGTATCAAAACTGATGTTATCAACGGTTGGTAATGAGCGCGCAAGAGCCGTATTGTTGGATGCATTTAGCTTCTGGGGCCTGGCTGAATGCATTACCGGCGCCTTGTCTTGGAACGTTTTTACGAGATGAAGAAGTCAGAGTAGGAGTGGCATTACGTTTTGGATTGCCTGTAGTGACAGCTCATAACTGCGTGGCATGCGGCAAATTAGTGGAGACGAATGGCCATCACGGGCTTTCCTGCAATAAATCAACGAAAGGGCGATGGGCCAGACATAGAGAAATGAACAGTATCGCCAAAACTGTTGCGAGAGTGCAGAATTCCCATGTCAACTGGAACCGACAGGCCTATCACCAAGTGGCGATTCGACCTGACGGCATGACCCTTATTCCAGTCCGTCAAGGAAAGTCTGTTGTATGGGATGTCACAAGTTGGTGTACAGTAGCCGATTCCCATGTTCACGGAAGTTCGAAGAAGGCAGGAAGTGTGGCTCACCTGGCAGAAAATGAGAAGCGACGAAGTACTCTCCACTGGAAAGTAGACACCTTTTCTATCCCTTAGTTGTTGAAACGTTCGGTGTCTTTGACCTAGCTTTAAGTGAATTTGACATTTTATGGGCCGTAAAACTCGTGAATTAACTGGAGAAGCGTTCTACTGCTTTTATGAAGCAACGTTTTAGTTTGGCTGTCATTAAGGGAAATGCTACTGCTGTGTCAAGTACGTTGCCTTTAACCCGCGGGCGGATAGAGATTTTGGTTGTTTTTTAATGTTTAAATTTTAACTGTAAAGTAGTGCCCGCGCTTGCACTTTGTTGTTATGGCGGCTATTGCCCAAAAATTCATTTTCATAATAAGTGAAAAATCAGCAATTTTACCACCTATGGCCCATTTCGTACCACTTCATAAAATCGGCCCCTTTTTTTGTTGATTGTATTCCACGTATTCCTATGCACACGTATTCTGTCTGTATTCACGTTATGTTCTCCATTATTTAGCTTATGCAAGTACGTCTGACTACGTTTCCTCTGCTGGATACTACCGTATTCCCACGTATTCTACCCGTATGCTGTCCGTGTTGACAATGTATTCTTCGGTTTCTTAGGTTTTTAACTAGAACAGCAGGGAATACGTGGTGAATACTGACTGAATACGTGGGAATGCGCTACTATGCTGCAAGTAGACAGTAGCCACAGAGGTTAGATAAGCCAGTTAGGGAATACTTTAGGGATACAGCAGAATACAGGTAGAATACGTCGGAATACGGACACACTCCACAGATATATTAATCTCGCCACTATGATCAAGATACTCGTGCCTTTACTCTTTAGCTGTATTCCCACGTATTCCATCCGTATTCTGCCTGTATTCTTACTGTATTCGCGAGGGATTTTCCATTATATATCTTTAATTTAAATATGACTGCTGTCTTCTTTAGTGTGTCCCCGTATTCTCCCGTGTTCCGCCTGTATTCCCAATGTATTCTTTGGTTTCCGAATTAGAAAACTTAGAATACGCTTTGAATTCGGGCAGAATACAGGCGGAATACGTAGGAATACGGCAGCCCACTTAGCGAATACAGAAATCATACGGTCGGCACAGGGAGGAATACGGGGCGAATACAGCACGAATGAAGGGGGAATACGTAGGAATACGGCGGC